CACCGGTCCCTAAGTTTTTCTTCTTCTCTTTTTTTTTACGAGCCGCGACCAGAGATCCAGCTTTCACAGATAAGCTGGATGCTTGTTGGCTCGCGCGCGGAGGGAACCGGAGCAGAGGTTAAAGCGCCGATAAACCGGGCTTACCGCGATGACGCGCGTGCTTCTGCCTCGTAACTTCTCCTTTTTCTCTGTTTTTCTTTCGTTTTCCCCCGGCAAGAAATCGCGACCAGACCGTGTCCACAACGTTGTTCCCCGTGTACCTCGGTGGCGGATTATTAAAAATAAATCTAGAAGAGTTAACCGGAGGAGAGCCTTTTGGAATGCCGGATGATGTTGGATTTCGGCTTTGAAACCTGTTACTTACAGACTCTTGCTGATAAGTCACCGGGTAAATTTAAGGCGATGGTAAATTTATATCGCGGTTATGACGTGGAGCTAGCACTTACCGATGGTTTACATTATCAACCCTTTCTTTATGGCACGCTTGAGACAAAAAGCGCTCGCTGTTTGCTGGACGAAACGGGTATTACTCAACGCTTGCATGGAAATAAAGATACTTGTGATTGAAATTATAGTCGAGTTTCTGATCACAAGAATTATTGGGGCAGTAGGATTTTCTGTTTTAGAGTAACTTGTGGAGAATGATTGAAATTAAGTTGTAATAATGAATTAAAATGTGTTTTATTTTTTTATAAAATCGATGAGAAATTCTTGTCTAGCAATTTTCATATGAACGAGTTTTCTTTTTGGATTTAGTTTAAGTCTATTAAGGCTTCGAGTGAAAGCTTTGGGGATTTGATGCTTCGACCACTGGCCTGGGTTAATTTAATGTCAACAAGTAGTTCGATGGTAGTTTGATGGATTCAATAAAGCGTAGATTGTCGTGGTGTTGATCATTGAGGTGGAAAAATATGGCAGTGGTGTTGAGTAATCCGAAAGCTTTCATGTACTTATTCTTAGTACAACAGAGAAACACAGACAATCTTCTCTCTAACTTATACTAATTATTATTAAAATAGAAAACTAAAATTCTTTCTACATTTTAAATCTTTAAAAGAGCTAAAAAAACTGTCTTCAAAATTGAATCACCTTTACAAAATACAACTAACACGATACTAAATCTCTATTCTTCTTTAGAACAATTGAAAAGCTTTCTAGGGAATAAAATGATGAATTGAGAAAATTGCATTGGAAGCTTTAGTTTAGCCTACAGGTCAACTGGAAACGATTCAACAAAAAGTGCTTCTCTATTTCCATCGATGGATTATCGAAACGAAATTTGGATGGAAGATTTCTACACACCTGATGGTTAATTAAAAATGATTTCACGAAAAAAGGGCCTACAGATCTATCAGTCTCTCCTCCAGAAAGCTCGTCAATTATGAACGACTATCTGTTACCCAAAAAGCAGAGGTTCCAATTCCATCCTATCAGATGGAAAATTATTATCGCCGCTCGAATCTCATACGTTCTAATTCCCCCCATTTCCGTCCCCTGTTTCGCCAGTAGCGCTTTTCACGGGCTATAGCTCCCGATGGCTGTAACGGGATAAGTTTCGTTGTTTATACCACCAACTTTTCACGACAATAGTCACGGCCATGGAACTTACGATTATTTTCCGGTCCTCTTTGTTGAACGAGCCCGCCTTTAAAAGTCCCGGCCGAGGTGGCGGCGATAAAGCGTATTCTCCTTTTCCTTCCTCCTTCGAGGAAGAGAAGAGAGAGAGAAAAAAGAGGGGAAAAGAGTAGCCGGTGGCTTCGAAAGCAACGCGAGACTATCCGGCAAACCTTTACGAGTGTCATGTTTATGGAGGAAGGCGTAGTATCGAGATTCGCGAAGAAAACAGCCAGGACAATTTACGAGAACGATATTAAAATTGTCTGGTTTGCTTCCCCGGTGGATGTTTCCTTGAATTACGTTTTATTATCCCCGCCGGGAATCTTAATTAATCGGGCTTTGCCGCGCGCCTTTTGCAAGTTTCGAACTTTATCTCGTTTATCACGCCCCGAATCAGCACGTAAAGTTCACTTCCTGCTTACAAGAGCGTTAACCCTTCAGCTGAGGCGTGTGTGTGTGTGTAGAGTCTGTGCAGAGAAATGAAAGAATGTGTGCGAGAAGAGGCGAGATACAGCGACTCGTGTGATACTTCATTTTGTTCTAATGGTCGTATCGATTAAATTAGGGTCTTCAGATAGTTGGAGCTTTGCTTGAACAATTTCCTGTTACATGTAGCGAGCTTTTTACAGTTTCAGAGAAACGTTTCCTGTTTCGCACGAAAAACGAAGGAAGATTTGGGTCATCTCTGAGTGATGACAATGATACCTAACTTTGGCATTTTTTTTTAAGGAAGTAATTGACTTTACCGAAAAATTTTCATAGGGGCTTTATTGCATTACCCTTAAGGAATGTAGAGGTATTTTTTTCATTTAGTTTGTTCGCAAAATGGCGGCGCTACAGCCGTTTTGCCGAACCTCCGTTTTCGATGGGGTACACCCATGGCGTTGTCCCCTACTGTCACATGATTCGACAAGTTAGAAAACTGCGATCTCGAGTCCTACCATCCTGCTCTTCCTTTCCTTTCTCGAGTTTCACACAACTGTCGGAATATTTTTCTCATCTAAATCACCACTCGCTTCCTTATCGGCCCTCCGACGCTGGAAATTACCGCTTGGCGTAATAAAAATGTAAATTCCTGGTCACTGGCCCGTCAGGGGACTCGCAAAGAGGGTAACACGCCGCGTGGAACGACTGAATCGCGAGCGTGCGTGCAATTAGACGTTCCAGCGGTCACGAAAACGCGCCGCGACGCCGGTGCCACGACGACCGGCCTCTCTTTCTCCGTGGTATCAAAATTCCACGCTCGACACGCGCTGGAATTCTTTATGGTCCCCACGGCAGCGTCACGAGAGAATGAAGGAGAGACCACACCCCTCGAACCAGGGGTCGTTAAGTATAAAACACGAGAGAAAAAAAAGGAGGAAGAACGCGATCGGGGGCGCGAAAAAAAGGCCGATCGAACTGTTGTTACACTTTATATACATGTGTACACTCCCGTTCGTAAGTGTTAGGACACTTGTCGAATGTGAAGCAGACCTAGACAGACTTCAGAAAATTTTTAAGATCCGCACGTTGACGCGAAATCGAGTTCTGTTGCAGGTCGTTGAACTTGTCTCGACAGTAGCTTTCGTGCAATATGAAAACAAAATATAGCCACCAATTTTTCAAAAACGTTAAGAAAATCATTGCAAATTTAGAAAATCTTCTGGAGCAATCATATTATATAGAAAAAATAATGAAACGTTGCCTTCTATTTTTCTCACAAATCTACCACTTACGAGAAAAACGCTGGAAATTAATAGCCTGAGCACTCTAAATATTTTTACTGATTTGTCAGAGAAATGTAATTTAAATCGTATAATATTTACGAAGGGCGTCCTAATATTTACGAAAGGCAGTGTACATATATTATATTCTGTTAAGTAAGTGTCCCAATACTTATGAAGAAGAGTGTACAGTTTGCGAATAACCAGTGCCATAGCAAAAGGGTTAACGCTACTTCTAGAAGCTGATCGATGAGACATACTTGGTTGATTTTTTATTAAAATGCTTTTAGTGTAAATATGCTGTTTTTCAGACGTTTTTGCTGGTTACACGGTAACTGGGTTATTGGGGCGGGTGAGTAGGTTGCATTTTTCCGGCTATTCGGCTTCCTGAGATGTTCTTAAGAGGAACCATGCCGTGTCGCCTGATGGGGTTTCGTGGGAACTGTGGCTTTAAGTAAGAAACTTTGGCTGTACGTGTGTTTCTTCAAGAAAAAAGCAATGGCTTTTACGATAATAGAGTAAGTTCAAAAAATATATTGAAAAGTATTTTATTCTGAATAAATTAAGTAACTTTTCGCAAAATCCTTTCAATACTATGTTTGCGAAAAAAAAAAAACAGCATGAAGAAATGTGTGCATAAATTATTTCATATTTTCGATTCCAAATATCAGGTGATCGAATGATCGAAACGATAGCACTCGGAAAGAGCAAACAGATATGATATGTAAATTTATACGTCCAATGCTACCAGAATTTAATGGAATCTAGTTTAAATAAAAATTCTATACGAAACGAACGAGCAAGGTGTATTTTTTTTTTATTACCAATCCACGCGACTGGATCAATTGTGAAATTTGAAGATCGTATTACGAACGATATCTGTAAGTATTTCTCGCGCAAAAGCCTTGGTAAGTTTTACGTAAAGAATCAAAGCGAGTGTCGTTCTCAATTCACATTATTAACTTCCTCTATTCCCCAACTCCTGCAATAAACCTACTCTAATCCCTCTGCCTAGAAAGATTCTCGATCTCCATCCACTCGTGCAAAGATATCTACACCTGAAACAGTCATTTGGTAACGTTTAAGTCGTTCTTCGACTTGTTCAAAAGTTGCAAACTAAAACCTGAATACTTTTATCCTCTGCGTTTTTTTGAAGCTTTAAATTTATTTTTCTATTACGTTGGTAAATTCGACAATTAAAAATTATACGACGCTTATATATTACAGACGACATTTCTCCTAGAAGTTAATTAACAGAAAGTAACGCTAAATGAACCGATTTAACATTAAAAATTTCAAAATGCAAAGGAAGAATATTTCAATAATTTACCTACATCACAAAATAACATAAAAGAGTAACCCTTTGCTTTGCGACTTTTCCAACGCTCACACAAGACAAAATTAGTACGAGAAGTTACCTGACACAAAACCACAATTTTTTCGAGGGGTTGCTTTCACCTCTAGGACAATTTCATTGCCGAAAGAAAAATTGTGTCGTAATTAGTGTCACATTAACTACATTTCTGCGAAGTTTCAAATTTCTTTCAATTTTTAGGATTCCGAAATTTCTCTCGGTTAAACCACAATCTTCCCCACGAACATGGTCGAACGACGTGAAGCAAGGGATCGATAATTATCTACCACAACTGACAAGCGATATTTTTGCTCTTTTTCAAGAACCGTTGCCGCTGTACGACAACAATCACTACCATGAGGAATGCCTAAAATGTAACAGCTGCGGCCTGAATCTCACGGGACCCAACCAAAAGCGGGCTAGACGGTGAGCAGAAAATTCCAACGTCACAATTGAACAACATTAACCCTTTCGTTCTCGCCTACAGCCATTTACAAGTTTTGCAAAAATACAGGTTCTCTTGTCGCCTATTTTTCCCTCACTGTGCCGCTAGCGCGATTCAATCCTTCATTTCTCTTCTCTGCACACTTCCATCTGAATTCGACGAAAATTTCGAAACGACTTTACAGCCGCGATCGAAACCTAGCGAAAGGGTTAATAATAAACACGGAGACACCGGACGATTGTTATTCGGCAGTTGTTTTAATTATGCCACTTAACAGAGGGAGAAAACGTCCACCTTCTACCGCGATAAACACGCTCGTACAGAAATCCCAATGTTTATACTGGCCGCGCGTATGTCGTCGATCAACTTTCCTAATAAAATCCCACGAATTCGCGAATATACACGGTTCCGTCGTGTTTCATTTTTCGATATGAAAAAAAAAAAAAAAAAAACAGAGCCCATCCGAAACACGCGTTTCCACGTGTCAGGGTGAAACACGTCACACACGTATGGAATTGCGGATTCGGTCGATCGGAATCGCGCAGCAGCGATCGTGATTCGCGAAACGGATCGCTGCGCTCTCGCGGTGAATTCGATCGGTAGAACGAAAGTCATTTGGCATTTTTTCCTTTTTTCTCACTGCATGTGGATTCAGATAGTGCAGAATGTATGGGTGAGTATGTATGTTTATTGTATTTGGACTAATAGAAAGAGAAAGGTATATACGAACGAGTGTTGTTCAGGTTTTTCGGCAAAGGAAATTCAACGAGATGGAACACTTTGAAAATTCTCTTTATTTCTGCCTTTTCTCTTTTCTATTTCTGGATGGAATTGCGTGTGACAATTTTTATTGAAAACGTTGTGTCGTGGAAAGTTATAAATATTACAGGTAAATTTGTCAGAGTCACAGGTGTCTACGGAACGAATAAATCATTTTACGGCATACCTCGAGGGGAGGGAGGGCAAGTATTATTATTCTTCCTGCACCTAAAAGAACACACACTTTAATTCGAGCAAATGTTTCTTCGATCGTTGTATCGTTGGTGTAAGCGTGAATGAAAATAGCGGGAAAAATTGCGTTGAAAAGTTTCATATTTTTCGGATTGTTTATAAGTATTAGGACGATTATTGTGTTTTCTTGACAAAGCTCGTGTCATATATTAGTAAAAATATATAGAGTGTTCGCGCTATAAATTTCCAGCGTTTTCCTCGTAATTGACAGGACGATAAAATGTGATAAAAGTGAAAAAGAACGAAGTTTCGCCATTATTCGCAATACATTTTGCAATGGTTTTCGCGTGGTAATAATACTACGAATTTTTCTAAAAGATAGCTATAGCTTTCTCTAGATTATATGAAAATGGTTGCAAAGAAAGGTTCAACGACCTGCGATAAATACAATGTTTGCGTGCAGCATAATTGAAGATAGTGTCCTAAATGAAAATGAACATTCAGAATTTAAACTAATTTTTTTCCAGGATCAAAGTAACATTGTAACGACTATTTAGGTTCGTTTCACATAAAACGAGTGTCCTAATACTTACAAACGGTAGCGTACACAGAATACACGTTTATGGTTGATTTTCGTGTGAAATATTGCTTCTATTTATAACGCGATAAATATTCATTCCATACGAAGCAGCGTAAACTAAAGTAAGCAAAAATAAGTGAAAAGAGAGCGACATAAAACAGCATTTTTGCGAACATTACTCCAGAAAATTTATGTACTTCTTCCTCTACTCTAATCTGAAAAGTTGCACATTTTAACGAACAAAAAAAAAAAAAATATTAGCTCGAAAAGAGAAACGCCAAAGTATATACAAGAAATAACGTCGCAATCTTTACCTCATTGCAAATTCTTCCAACGTTCGGTAGCGAAGAACATTTCTGCAAAAATTCGCGCCAATGGGAAATATCGAAGCTTCAAGTACAATATACCCAAGCTTTCTCTGTTGCGTAACAATTACAAGCTTTTCCGATGCTTCCACAATTGCGAGATAAATTCTAAACGTCCAGAATTGCCCGATACTATCGAACAGCAGCGCTTCTATCCATCGATGAACAAACTCGAGCAATAGAAGGAGAGAGAAAAGAAAGCAGCGCAGTCGCTAATTAAAGAAACCAACGCCGCTGATCGAATCTCGCCGTACAAAAGAGCGAAAGCGAAGCTTTGCATAAAAGAAAGAAAGAAAAAAAAGAAAAAGAGATGAAATCTTCCATCAAACTCGGTTACGCAGCACGTTCACACCAGTCATTAATCAGAAAAAAGCTCGATCTTAACCGAGGCCACCGGGTACATATATAGAATCGGCAGCCACTTACCCGACAAACACGAACGATCATCAATTTCCTCTGTTCTCCAGGTTCAAGAACCAAATACTTTGCGATCTTCACTTCGCTGACGTGGCGCTGATGGAGTGCTCGGACTTCATGCAGCAGTTGCGCAGCTTCAAACCACAATGTTTAGGCTGCGCAGTTGCCCGAAGGAAATCATCGACCACCTTGATCTTCCCCCTGCCGCCGCAAGCCTGTTCAGGTAGGATTCACCGGTTTTATGGATCTTCGTGTACCTTTGTAAATCGACACTTCTTTTTATTTTCTTCTTACTTTCGCCGAGAGACGTCCTTTGTTAGCCGCGAATCACGAAGTGTAAATGTTGTACTAATTTCAATTTTCTCTTTGTGAATGACTATTTGTTCGAGACTGGGTAAGAAGTGAACGATTTTTGTAATTTCTGTTTGTAAAGAAATTACCAAGTGATGGATGTAATGGTAAAGTTTCTTTGGAGAAGATTTGCAGATTTTTGCAATTTCTGTTTTCAAAGAAATTAGAAAATGGTAGATATAATGCCGAAGTTTCTTTGGAGAAGAATTGCAGATTTTTGAAATTTCCATTTCATTTTTGACAAATTACCAGAACAAACGCAGAAAAGGGAAAAATTCCACTAGTTTCGCAAAATTTCGATTTCATTGAAGAATATTTAACTTCGAAAAAGAAAATACAGTTTTCCTCGAATTACCAAATTTTTCAAATCACCGCAAATCCGACGAAAAATTGTAAACCAAACGCTGCACATCTTACAGAACATAGGAATTATTATCCTAAAATACGGAGTTTGCTTATCTACGGAAAAATCGGCAGAAATTTTCCAAGACGATCTAGCACCGATTGCCCGGAAACTAGATACACTCGATGGAAGGTAAGTAGCGGATAAATGCTCCAACGAAAAGTACAAAATATCTACTCCACGGCTCGCGGGTAAAGTGTTAAGAGACTCGAGGACATCGGATCGAGAGGAAGCGGAAGGAAAGAGACTCGGGTTGCGAACTTTTACCGGTGTACATACATATGTATGAGTCTACGGAGCTACAGGTGGTTCCCCCTACTTTGGATTATGCGCCTTTGCATACGCAGTCGGCTACGTTTGCCGTTCCGAATCCAAATCGACCGTCTCGAATTAGAGCGAGAAGGTGTGAACTTGTGCTTAACGATGGACTCTCGAACCTTGTTACACCGATACGGTACACGCTTTTAGGGGAAAATTACCGGATTCACGACTGGCTGACGAGGCAATTCAGATTGTTTGCACCGCCACGACGTTCAATTTCTTTCACCTTATCGGATTATCTCCCCGTTTTTTGTCACTCGAGACACGGAGCTTTGTTCTAGACTTAATTTCGAAGGAAATTAGCGATAAGGGTATTTCGCAATTTTTTTTGTAATACGAAAGAAACTATTCTGTAAGAATTTGTGAATTTTATTTCAGAATTATGGCACGGAAAGGTAATTTCTGTTATTTGCTTCGTTATTAATTCTGCGACGTTACTGCGATAAATAAACAAATTTGCCGTTCAACGGTATTGCAACAAGTATGTTTGAAAATATTTGAAGAAACGTGAAGTGAATACGAATGTTTCACCGATCCTCGATTCGTCGAGATAAATAAACATGTTTTGCTACATTCAGCCACTTTATCGAATACATGTACGTGTTTTGCATTCTCGAGCCGTTTGTTATTTCAAGGAAAACGTTTGTTGCCGCCCGGAAATCGTCGTTCGCTAATTTGCAGAAGTTCAGATACTCGAGGGACCTTTCGAAAAATTCCCACTTATCCCTCAAGATTTTTTAATAATAGGAAAATTAAGAAGAGAAACAACAGCACAACAATCTCGATATTCTTAAATACAATTACAAACCAAGAAAATCGTATCAAGAACATTTATCCTTCATTTCACCAGAACTCTAACGAGAAAACTTCAATACT